AGCTGGGCCTGGGGCCCGGGCCGCGGCCAGCGCAAGGGACAGCAGGGCGGGGGCGGGCGCCAAGCTTGGCGCAGGCGGCCCGGGCGCCGCCCCCCGTGGCCCTGGCGCAGCGCCGCGCCCGACGGGGACGAAGCCGGCGACGCCCCGGAGGCGCGCAAACTCTTCGCGGCCCTCCTGGATGAAGCGGGCTGTGTTGTCGTCCAGGTATTCGGCCTCGAAGCGGTACAGGGCGGCTGCTGCCGGCAACCTGCCAGTGAGCCCGCCCCGCGGGCCAAGCAAGAAAACCTCGCCTCCAGAATCCAGGAGGTCCTCATCGTACAGGTCGCCGTCCGGCGTAGCCACAAGGTATGAGCATGGCAGCTCACCAGGCACTTTCTGCAGAATCAGCCGCTCGTGGTACCAGTCGGGGTCCACGCCGTACGATATCAGAATGCGCTGACCCACTCGCAGTGATCGAAGGCTGGCCTCCACCGCTGGCACCGCCACCGACGGTTTTGTGTTGAACTCCGACCCGTCCGCTCACCAAGAAGTACAGCTATATGGACACGCAAAGGCAAATGCCGCACACGAAGCCGCTAAAGAAGGCCCACGAGACCGCAGGCTGCGGCGCCAGCTGCTGGGGCCCGCACCGGGCCGAAACCGAAAGGGCAATGGCATTGTGCATTTGGCCAAGATCGCATTTCATAATGTTTACAAAAAAGAACATCTACACCTGGTGCTACATTACTATATCAGGCAAAGACAACGCGCAATGCGCCTGCTGTAATGGTCGCTTCAGAGAGCAAGAGTGAGACAATGGGCCTTCGGCGGCCGTTCGGGACGATCCGGGCAGCACCGGAACGCTCTCGGCGAGGCGCAGCCGCTGGAAGGCACCCCGAGGCTGGGGAAGAGCCTCGTACCCCCCCCCCGAGCCCATGCATCCCCCCCCATCGCTGCCCTCGAGTGCCGTGCCGCGGCCGCTCTTCCTCCGCTGCCCCCGCGCGAGGCGAGGCGGCGCGGGCGCTCCGAAGACACCCACTCTGCAAGCGCGGCGGGGCGGCCCCGCGGCGCGCGGCGACGCGCGGCCCCCGCCGAGTGTGCCCGTGCGGGCCCCACTCTCCCTCGTTGCACGGTTTCCCCCGGAGCCGTAGGCGACCCCGAGGAGGAGAGACCCCGAGGAG